AACTGAACCTAAACCAGCAATTGAAACTAAAACAGTAACTGAAACTAAAACAGAAACTAAACCTGCAACACAAATTACAACAGCAACTGAACCTAAACGCACACCAGAGCCTAAACCAGCTGAAACTAAACCTACAGCAACTGAACCTAAACCAGCAATTGAAACTAAAACAGTAACTGAAACTAAAACAGAAACTAAACCTGCAACACAAATTACAACAGCAACTGAACCTAAACGCACAACAGAGCCTAAACCAGCTGAAACTAAACCTACAGCAACTGAACCTAAACCAGCAACTGAAACTAAAACAGTAACTGAAACTAAAACAGAAACTAAACCTACAACACAAACTACAACAGCAACTGAATCTAAGCTAGAGGTGGAAACTAAATCTACAACAAAGACCACAATAGCAAGTGATCCTAAACCCACATCAGAGCCTAAACCAGTTGAACTTAAACCTACAAAAACAGCTGAAACTAAACCAGCAGCTGAAACTAAACCTACATCAGAACCTAAACCAGTGACTGAAACTAAACCAGAACCTGAAGCTAAATCTGCAGCTCAGCTGAAACCAGCACCTGAATCCAAGCCTGAACCAGTTCCAGAGAAAAGGTTTGCTGTATTAATGTTCATATTACAGAAATGTAAATCATTGCATATCTGATGTTGATTAAATAGCCTTTCAGGCTTGGTGTCTGTAGACAGAAACCTTTATGCTGATGCAGTTTCTTCATGTTTGTATCCTTTGCAGCATGTCTGACACCCTGATATCCTTCAGCACAGAGCCTGCCAGGTACAAAGATGATCCCATTCATGCATAATAGCATCCGCCATATAAAGATTATGTTCATTAATCTCAGTGCCATTCATGTGTAAAGGGGTTTCATACAGTAGCGGAGAGTGAGAACGCTGATATTGTTGCTGTTTATCTGACCTCACTGTCATGTGAATTTATTGCGCTTATTGTCATGTGATAGTTCAATGCAGTCTAAGATAAACTTGTCAGATTCACACAGTCACAGACGTGATCTAAACCCACTCTTGGGCATATGAATATGTATGCAGTGTCCATAAGTAGCATCAGTTGTAAGTGAAGAAGTAGTATTTAGTCGGGAACCATGCAAACCAGTGAATGAACACATTCTGTGAAAATATTGCTTTAGGTTATGTTTTATATGGTTCTCAGTTTTTTAAGCTAAGGAAAGGTGTATTTAATGGGAACTGAAATGGACAATTCAGTCATTATTTGCTCACATTGGTGGTATTGTTCTAAAGCAGTATTACCTTCTTTCTTTTTCTTTTTTTAAGCACAATGAGCAGAGAATGTTTTATTTATTTTATTTTAAAGCATTTTATTTATTTATTCTAAAGCATTTGAAAGGGTTTGTCAAAAAAAAAGGACATTTATTATTTAGCAAAAATCCTTAACTAGGTTGTCGCTCTACTATGTGTCACTTCTCATTTTTATGAGAGTGCAGACTTTCACCAAATGTACTGTGACAGGGCTGAGCTAGTAACTCACTAATCAAATATTAGCTGGATGACAATTACATAGCAATACGTCTGCTGACCGACTTTAAAGAAGAATTTTGAAACATGCTGTTTTGTAACAGACCACTAGAGGACAGGAAAGCTCTCTTGGAGACAATATATTTCAAAATGAAGATTTTGATTCGAATTCAATTACTACACACACCATTGATGCATTTCTTTGTCCTGCAGTTCTGGCCGAGCAGACTCGGGAGTAGATCTTCTCAGTCAGGATCTGCTGACAGACAACAGGTGAGAGAGGCTGAATGCACCGGTGATTATTATTGAAATGATTTTAGATCCCCAGAGGATCCCCACACATGTATATGAGGCTGTGGTGGTCATTCTATAAAATAGATGCCTCATATACATGTGTACAACATGAGTTGAAGCTTGATTCTGAGGCTAAAATTGAAGCAAAAAATGAGTGCTGTCAAACGATTAATCGCATCCAAAAAAAAAGTTTTTGTTTACATAATATATGTGTGTATGTGGGTCAAAGACGAAAAAGGGTTTAAGCATAAAAATAATACTGCTTTAAATTGTTGTTTTCCCCCAAAATTTAAAAACTTAAAAAGTTTTCTGTTTAATGTAATTGTATTTTTGTTTTTCTGAGCAAAAAATAAATATCTTATTGTCATGTGATAGTTCAATGCAGTCTAAGATAAACTTGTCAGATTCACACAGTCACAGACGTGATCTAAACCCACTCTTGGGCATATAAATATGTATGCAGTGTCCATAAGTAGCATCAGTTGTAAGTGAAGAAGTAGTATTTAGTCGGGAACCATGCAAACCAGTGAATGAACACATTCTGTGAATATATTGCTTTAGGTTATGTTTTATATGGTTCTCAGTTTTTTAAGCTAAGGAAAGGTGTATTTAATGAGAACTGAAATGGACAATTCAGTCATTATTTGCTCACATTGGTGGTATTGTTCTAAAGCAGTATTACCTTCTTTCTTTTTCTTTTTTTAAGCACAATGAGCAGAGAATGTTTTATTTATTTTATTTTAAAGCATTTTATTTATTTATTCTAAAGCATTTGAAAGGGTTTGTCAAAAAAAAAGGACATTTATTATTTAGCAAAAATCCTTAACTAGGTTGTCGCTCTACTATGTGTCACTTCTCATTTTTATGAGAGTGCAGACTTTCACCAAATGTACTGTGACAGGGCTGAGCTAGTAACTCACTAATCAAATATTAGCTGGATGACAATTACATAGCAATCTGCTGACCGACTTTAAAGAAGAATTTTGAAACATGCTGTTTTGTAACAGACCACTAGAGGACAGGAAAGCTCTCTTGGAGACAATATATTTCAAAATGAAGATTTTGATTCGAATCCAATTACTACACACACCATTGATGCATTTCTTTGTCCTGCAGTTCTGGCCAAGCAGACTCGGGAGTAGATCTTCTCAGTCAGGATCTGCTGACAGACAACAGGTGAGAGAGGCTGAATGCACCGGTGATTATTATTGAAATGATTTTAGATCCCCAGAGGATCCCCACACATGTATATGAGGCTGTGGTGGTCATTCTATAAAATAGATGCCTCATATACATGTGTACAACATGAGTTGAAGCTTGATTCTGAGGCTAAAATTGAAGCAAAAAATGAGTGCTGTCAAACGATTAATTGCATCCAAAAAAAAAGTTTTTGTTTACATAATATATGTGTGTATGTGGGTCAAAGACGAAAAAGGGTTTAAGCATAAAAATAATACTGCTTTAAATTGTTGTTTTCCCCCAAAATTTAAAAACTTAAAAAGTTTTCTGTTTAATGTAATTGTATTTTTGTTTTTCTGAGCAAAAAATAAATATCATACGTTTCCCCCTGATTTACAGAAGGCACCCACTAAAATGTCATTCAGTGTAACAATCTTGTCAGGCATATTTACAACAAAAGTCAATTTATGACATATTAAAAAACTAATTGCTTTCACCCCAAATACTAATTAGTTGTTATTTTACATTTTTTTTAAAAATGTGCCACTATCCTAGGTTTTGCCCATTTGTTAGTAAGAATTTTAAAACACAATAAAATTTAATATGCTCCCTTATTCTTTTATATATTTTCATTCATTTCACATTCACTTACATTTAATGTGCTTTCTATGGACATAAAATCACTTTTGTAAATTTATTTTGATGCTGACATCTTAACGTCTTTGACCCATGTATATATATATATATATATATATAAGAACAATTTTATATTTGTATATTAAATATATTTATATATAATATCAATTATATAAATATATATGTAAATATTTTCAAAATATATATTGTATGAGTGTGTATTTATATATACATAATAAATATACACAGCACACACACATATATTATGTAAATATTTGTTATTTACAGATTATAACAGATTGTTATAATTTGTATTTCATAATGCCTAATAAAGCAGGTTTGTGAGCGCAGTGCTGCTTTGTGTACAGCCTTACCGGGGAAACTGCTATTTTACCGCTCCAAGAGCGGCACCTAGTGGCAAAGAATGAATTTGCATTTTTATTCAGACCAATGCGAAAAGACCAAGTGGGCGGGCAATATGCTAATGTTTCATGTTGAGGTCAACATGAAATGGCTTGGGATTCGGTTTAAAAACGACTCGTTTCAATGACTTCGACTCTTTCGTTTGAGAGACAATAACTTTATACACTGTGCACTTTCAGATTTTAAACTTGGCAGGATGTTTTCATTCACTTAGAGCTGTGTTATGTTACACACTGCATGAAAGGTGATTTTTAAAAATCCATAATAGGGGCACTTAAAAAAACTAACTTACACTAGTTTTTCTAATCTTTTTGTATTCTATTCTATCTGTTTTCTTTTTATGTATTATATAATTAAAAAAAACCTTGCTACGTGTACTGCATTAAGCTAACTGAGACTTGTTATAGCACTTGCATATCATTGCTCTTTTGTTGATTTTGATTGCTTCCATTGTCCTCATTTGTAAGTCGCTTTGGATAAAAGCGTCTGCTAAATGTAAATGTAATGTAAATTATATACATTTTATATATTTTTATATAAACTTATGTCTATCATTTTCCCATTTTTTAACTGTATAGTTTACTTGAGCACAAGGTTTGTAATGCCAAATTAAACCGTATAACTGGTTAACCCGTTACTGCCAACCCTATTATCTTACTAAAGACTTAATTATATCCCAACAAACGGTATATTACAGTATATTCATTTAGCTTGAGATGGCACAATGCAGTTTTTAACACTTACAGTCTTACACAGATGTTACTGTAAATAATTTTTTTTTACTAAAAACATTTTTTTACTAAATGATCTGGATATTTCCCCTCTAGTCCTCTGCCTCAGACAAACAAGGCACATAAAACTCTGGACCTGCTCGCAGATGATCTTATTCCCTTCAATACTACTACCACCAGGTGATTTTTTGTCCTCATTTATTCTTTATTCATAGAACTGTCATTTCTTAGTTTTGAAGAATACACATGGCAATGCAGTTTCTTAGACAGATTAGCAATATGATTAATAATGTAAAAATAACACATAAAAGAAGCTCAGAAGACCGTGAAGACTTCACTTGAGTATTGAAGTGTAACTAATAGTTTTGTTCCCCCTCTCAGAACCAGCACTGACTACACCTACAGCCGGAAAACCCTGATTGAAGATTTTAAGAGGTACAGCATCATTTCTTTCTTTCTTTCTATTTTATTTTAAAGCAGATGTGTCCGAACCTGTTCCCGAAGGGCCACTGTCCTGCTGAGTTCAGCTCCAACCCTAATGAAACACACCTGAACCAGCTAATCAAGGTCTTCAGACTCAGGCCCTGTCCCAAATCGCACCCTAAACCCTCGAGGTCTTCCTCTGAGGCCATGTCCACACGTACACGAGTATTTTTAAAAACTGAGTTTTTCCTTCTTCCGTTTAAAAAAAAAATCTCCATCCACATGAAAACGCATGCTATGACGCACTGTTAAGAGCATGCCAAACCAACAGGTGGCGATATAATCTCAACCGTAAAGCCATGTTGGCCAATCAGAAGCCTGAAAAAGTCTAATGTTGGCGGAGATAAGCCAAAAAATCTTCACCCTGGCAAGCGTTTTCAAAAATGTTTGGTTTCAGTGACCTGGTGCTGCGTTTGCGTGTGGACGAACGGCCAAACCGAGTAGAAAAAGATGCGGTTTTAAAAATAACCGCGTTCGTGTGGACAGGGCCTATGTCCACACTTTCATGACGTAATGCCGCTTTGACTGTTGGGTAGAAGTCTGCTGTGGAGCTCGGCAGGAGTGTGCATCGAGTGTTCATGGGGCAAACGTCCAGGCAAAAATACTATAGTAATTTATAGTAAATACTATAGTGTTTTTGAACCATACTATAGTAAAGTTTATTATACTGTATATATTATAGTATTTACAACACTTTGTTAATGAATGCTACAGTATACTGTAGTGTTAAAGGAGTAGTTCACTTCCAGAACAAACATTTACAGATAATGTAATCCAAGATCTTCATGTCTTTCTTTCTCCAGTCGTAAAGAAATTGTTTTTTGAGGAAAACATTTCAGGATTTCTCTCCATATGATGGACTTCTATGGTCCCCCGAGTTTGAACTTCCAAAATGCAGTTTAAATGCAGCTTCACAGAGCTCTAAACGATCCCAGCCGAGGAAGAAGGGTCTTATCTAGCCAAACCATCGGTTATTTTATAAAAAATGTACAATTTATATACTTTTTAACCTCAAATGCTCGTCTTGTCTAGCTCTGCGTGAACTCTGTGTATTCCGGTTCAGTTAGGGTAGGTCGAAAAACTCCCATCTCTTTTTCTCCTCCAACTTCTAAATCATCCTACATCGCTGCAGAAGTACCGACCCAGTGTTTACAAAGTGAACATGCAAAGCAGATCGAATGCCCTTTACAAAAAAAGGTAAAACCGCGATGTAGGACGATTTAGGACGATTAGATTTAGGAGGTTTTCGACCTACCCTAACTGTCATGAACCGGAATACACAGAGGTCACGCAGAGCTAGACAAGATGAGCATTTGAGGTTAAAAAGTATATAAATTGTAATTTTTTAAAATAAAATAACCGATGGTTTGGCTAGATAAGACCCTTCTTCCTCGGCTGGGATTGTTTAGAGCTCTTCGAAGCTGCATTTAAACTGCATTTTGGAAGTTCAAACTCGGGGCACCATAGAAGTCCATTATATGGAGAGAAATCCTGAAATGTTTTCCTCAAAAAACATAATTTCTTTACGACTGGAGAAAGAAAGACATGAAGATCTTGGATGACGAGGGGGTGAGTACATTATCTGTACATTTTTGCCTTGGAAGTGAACTATAGTGAACTGTAATAAATACTGTAGTATACTTTAGTGTTTACTACAGTAAACTGTAGTGTATTGTAGTATAATATACCCTATAGTTGTAGAAAACTGAGTACAGTATTGGATAAAGTAATTTGTTTATATTACTATAGTTGTTATATTACCACAGCAACTATGCAACTATAGCAAAAAATTAATTCAAGTACTTTACTATAGTATGGTCCAAAAACACTATACTATTTACTATAAATTTCCCAATTTCCCACATTCTATAGTAATTTATAGTAAATTCTATAGTGTTTTTGAACCATACTATGGAGGGACGTTGGAGCAGGACTGGACACCCCTGACATAAAGGGTTCTCATTGGTGTCAAGCAAGCATGTTTCAGCTTCAGTTTTCAGTATGTGATTTGCTCTGTGTTTGAGATGTCATGTAAATCACCCAAATACACTGTAAATGAATACTTACAATCGTTTTGCTTTGTTACGAGATGGTAAATGTGTTGAGCATTGTGTATATGCTACAGCCTTCAGGAAAACAGTGCTGTGGTGTACTTTGTCTGAGCACAATAATCCTTTTTTAACAGTGGCATCACAGTTCCACTTGCATATGACAGCACATGCTTCTAAGCGCAGTGTGAAATTGTTTTTTATTTTTTACAGCTCAGATGATGATTTTGATCCAATATCAATATCGAGTGATCCCACAAAGAGGTGATGATTCTGAATGAAGTTCTCACTGTTTATCAATCATCTGTGTACACACGGCAGCCAACACCTCATTCTCTGTCTGCTTGTGTCTTTCACAGTCCTCAGTGGTACAGTCCTCCTAAACCGGACTCAAGGTAATTGTGCAGATTCGTTTATCAGGCTCTGTTTGCTAAAATTGTGACAATAATGGTTATCATGATACAGTTGGCAGTGGTGGACGAAGTACACAAATCAAGTACTTGAGTAAAAGTACAGATACGTATAATAAAATATTACTCCTTTTTCAATTTTACTCGAGTGAAAGTACAAAAGTACTCGATTTTTTATGTACTTAAGTAAATAAAGTACTGATAGATTTATTTTGCATGTTATATAGGCTACTTAATTTAATTTTATATTAGCACATATTTTTTATAATCCTTCTGCTCAAACTACCTGGGATTTTCCCAAAATAACCCCTATATCAAGTCAAGTCTGCTTTATTGTCAATTCTTCCACATGTACAGCACATACACACAGAGTATGGAGTCAAGCTATATTTGTGTTGTTGATATGGACTACGTTGACGAGAGCGATGTAGTAATGTTCACTGTGAAGCTTACACTGCCAAGTACCATCTGATTCTCACCAGTAAGAACAAAGTGTTTCGTGAACTCTGTGTATTCCGGTTCAGTTAGGGTAGGTCGAAAAACTCCCATCTCTTTTTCTCCTCCAACTTCTAAATCATCCTACATCGCTGCAGAAGTACCGACCCAGTGTTTACAAAGTGAACATGCAAAGCAGATCGAATGCCCTTTACAAAAAAAGGTAAAACCGCGATGTAGGACGATTTAGGACGATTAGATTTAGGAGGTTTTCGACCTACCCTAACTGTCATGAACCGGAATACACAGAGGTCACGCAGAGCTAGACAAGATGAGCATTTGAGGTTAAAAAGTATATAAATTGTAATTTTTTAAAATAAAATAACCGATGGTTTGGCTAGATAAGACCCTTCTTCCTCGGCTGGGATTGTTTAGAGCTCTTCGAAGCTGCATTTAAACTGCATTTTGGAAGTTCAAACTCGGGGCACCATAGAAGTCCATTATATGGAGAGAAATCCTGAAATGTTTTCCTCAAAAAACATAATTTCTTTACGACTGGAGAAAGAAAGACATGAAGATCTTGGATGACGAGGGGGTGAGTACATTATCTGTACATTTTTGCCTTGGAAGTGAACTATAGTGAACTGTAATAAATACTGTAGTATACTTTAGTGTTTACTACAGTAAACTGTAGTGTATTGTAGTATAATATACCCTATAGTTGTAGAAAACTGAGTACAGTATTGGATAAAGTAATTTGTTTATATTACTATAGTTGTTATATTACCACAGCAACTATAGAATTACCACAAAAAATTAATTCAAGTACTTTACTATAGTATGGTCCAAAAACACTATACTATTTACTATAAATTTCCCACATGAAAAAATTCTATAGTAATTTATAGTAAATTCTATAGTGTTTTTGAACCATACTATGGAGGGACGTTGGAGCAGGACTGGACACCCCTGACATAAAGGGTTCTCATTGGTGTCAAGCAAGCATGTTTCAGCTTCAGTTTTCAGTATGTGATTTGCTCTGTGTTTGAGATGTCATGTAAATCACCCAAATACACTGTAAATGAATACTTACAATCGTTTTGCTTTGTTACGAGATGGTAAATGTGTTGAGCATTGTGTATATGCTACAGCCTTCAGGAAAACAGTGCTGTGGTGTACTTTGTCTGAGCACAATAATCCTTTTTTAACAGTGGCATCACAGTTCCACTTGCATATGACAGCACATGCTTCTAAGCGCAGTGTGAAATTGTTTTTTATTTTTTACAGCTCAGATGATGATTTTGATCCAATATCAATATCGAGTGATCCCACAAAGAGGTGATGATTCTGAATGAAGTTCTCACTGTTTATCAATCATCTGTGTACACACGGCAGCCAACACCTCATTCTCTGTCTGCTTGTGTCTTTCACAGTCCTCAGTGGTACAGTCCTCCTAAACCGGACTCAAGGTAATTGTGCAGATTCGTTTATCAGGCTCTGTTTGCTAAAATTGTGACAATAATGGTTATCATGATACCGTTTGTCATAATAGTGTAAATTTGTATTTTCAGTTCAGATACATTCAATCACTTTCAGCATCCTGTGGATTTTGTTGTTGAGTGAGTATATAAATCAATTTACATGGACCTTGCCATTTTAAAAATTTCATTTAATAATAATTTTATAAAATTTTATAATATTACAATTATATGCAAACATTTCATGTCATGTCATTTTACACAGTGCTTTTGATTAAATAGTCATATTAATCAAGATATTTTGTGCTTAATTGATAGTGCGCCACCAGACGTTTTGGTTTCCTTGGCTGAAGATGTCATTCCAATTGATACTAAGAGGTAATTCAATACTGCATAACTGTTTATTACACAGCTCATTTCTTGAGCCAACACCTGGACCTGTTTGTGTTGATTCATATTGTTTTCACAGAGATCTTTGCTAAGAAAAGTCAATAACATAACGTGTTAAAGTCCCAGAGCATGAAGTAGTGTGGTAGTTTGAGTCAAACCCAACCCTAAAACTCCACCTGAGCTGCAGATAAACTCTCACACAGCATCAACCGCACTTTCACACGTGTTGACGCACTCTCTGGAAATACAACTAGCCTTCATATCACCGGATCCTTTTTAAAAGCAACATCTGTTTTTTCTTTCTCACAGTGATTGGAAGACAGACATGGACAGGTAAGTGCTGCTGTTCTTTCAGTGAAGTTCATTGCATATACAAAAGCTTTAATAAGCAAGAAGTAAAACAATAATTCAAGCAAATTCCACTTCATATTTGAGGTTATGAGATTACAGAAGACGGGGATATCAATACTTTGTCAAAACTTCTTGTTTAAAAAAATTCTGATAATTCTTCATAGAACTGTCATTTCTTAGCTTTGAAGAATACACATGGCAATGCAGTTTCTTAGACAGATTAGCAATATGATTAATAATGTAAAAATAACACATAAAAGAAGCTCAGAAGACCGTGAAGACTTCACTTGAGTATTGAAGTGTAACTAATAGTTTTGTTCCCCCTCTCAGAACCAGCACTGACTACACCTACAGCCGGAAAACCCTGATTGAAGATTTTAAGAGGTACAGCATCATTTCTTTCTTTCTTTCTATTTTATTTTAAAGCAGATGTGTCCGAACCTGTTCCCGAAGGGCCACTGTCCTGCTGAGTTCAGCTCCAACCCTAATGAAACACACCTGAACCAGCTAATCAAGGTCTTCAGACTCAGGCCCTGTCCCAAATCGCACCCTAAACCCTCGAGGTCTTCCTCTGAGGCCATGTCCACACGTACACGGGTATTTTTAAAAACTGAGTTTTTCCTTCTTCCGTTTAAAAAAAAAATCTCCATCCACATGAAAACGCATGCTATGAAGCACTGTTAAGAGCATGCCAAACCAACAGGTGGCGATATAATCTCAACCGTAAAGTAGGGCTGAACGATAAATCGCATGCGATATTTAACGCGCATCTTGTCAGAAAGCCGGTTCTGTAATCAGCGGTAAATCTCCATCACCTGCGGGCTTTCACATTGAGCAGCATTAACTACACAGAGCCGTTGTTCACTGACGAGCTGCGCAAAAAATTGCGCGAATATGAATGTGGTTTTGTTTTCTTCTAAAAGAGATGAAAAGTAATCAGATCTAGCCGTTTTTAAAGCTTTTCTGTAGGATAGGGTACTTTCCCACCAAGCAATATGAAATACCTCTAGTTTTGTTTACCTCCAGCTGCGCTCCATTTTTCCGGGCTGCTCTCTTTAGGGTGCGAGTGTGCTCATTATACCACGTGTCAGACTGTTTTCCTTAGTCTTCCTTAAGCGTAAAGGAGCAAACGTATCTAAAATGCTAGAAAAGAGAGAGTCCATAGTTTCTGTTGCATCAAGTTGTTCTGAGGTTTTGGATGTGCTGAGGAATTGGGATAAATCAGGAAGATTACTTGCAAAGCAGTCTTTTGTGGTAGAAGTGATGGTTCTACTATCATACTTGTAACAAGGAGTAGAATTTACAGTTTTAGCTATATGAAGTTTGCACAAGACTAAATAATGATCTGAGATCTCATCGATTGGCTGCATAATTTCAACACAATCAACATCAATTCCATGTGACGGTATTAAATCTAGAGTATGATTTCGACAATGAGTAGGTCCTGAGACGTGTTGTCTAACCCCAATAGAGTTCAGAATGTCTATGAATGCTGATCCCAATGCATCTTTTTCATTATCAACATGGATATTAAAATCACCAACAATTAAATCTTGATCTGCAGCCAGCTCTAACACGGATATAAAATCAGCAAATTCTTTAATAAAGTCTGTATGGTGCCCTGGTGGCCTGTATACAGTAGCCAGTACAAACATCACAGGGGATTTATCATTAACACTTGTGTCTCCGGATAATGTTATATGAAGCACCATTACTTCAAACGTAGTTACTTCAAAAATGTTTATATATATTACTATAGTTGTTTGTTATATATTACCACAGCAACTATAGAATTACCACAACAAATTAATTAAAGTACTTTACTATAGTATGGTCCAAAAACACTATAGTATTTACTATAAACCACTATAGTATTTTTTTCCTACATGAAAAAATATATAGTAATTTATAGTGAATACTATTGTGTTTTTGAACCATACTATTGAGGGACGTTGGCTCCCAGGAGCAGGACTGGACACCCTTGACATAAAGGGTTCAGTTTTCAGCTTCAGTTTTCAGTATGTGATTTGCTCTGTGTTTGAGATGTCATGTAAATCACCCAAATACACTGTAAATGAATACTTACAATCGTTTTGCTTTGTTACGAGATGGTAAATGTGTTGAGCATTGTGTATATGCTACAGCCTTCAGGAAAACAGTGCTGTGGTGTACTTTGTCTGAGCACAATAATCCTTTTTTAACAGTGGCATCACAGTTCCACTTGCATATGACAGCACATGCTTCTAAGCGCAGTGTGAAATTGTTTTTTATTTTTTACAGCTCAGATGATGATTTTGATCCAATATCAATATCGAGTGATCCCACAAAGAGGTGATGATTCTGAATGAAGTTCTCACTGTTTATCAATCATCTGTGTACACACGGCAGCCAACACCTCATTCTCTGTCTGCTTGTGTCTTTCACAGTCCTCAGTGGTACAGTCCTCCTAAACCGGACTCAAGGTAATTGTGCAGATTCATTTATCAGGCTCTGTTTGCTAAAATTGTGACAATAATGGTTATCATGATACAGTTGGCAGTGGTGGACGAAGTACACAAATCAAGTACTTGAGTAAAAGTACAGATACGTATAATAAAATATTACTCCTTTTTCAATTTTACTCGAGTGAAAGTACAAAAGTACTCGATTTTTTATGTACTTAAGTAAATAAAGTACTGATAGATTTATTTTGCATGTTATATAGGCTACTTAATTTAATTTTATATTAGCACATATTTTTTATAATCCTTCTGCTCAAACTACCTGGGATTTTCCCAAAATAACCCCTATATCAAGTCAAGTCTGCTTTATTGTCAATTCTTCCACATGTACAGCACATACACACAGAGTATGGAGTCAAGCTATATTTGTGTTGTTGATATGGACTACGTTGACGAGAGCGATGTAGTAATGTTCACTGTGAAGCTTACACTGCCAAGTACCATCTGATTCTCACCAGTAAGAACAAAGTGTTTTAAAGCTTGTTGTTTTGCAGAACGTCACAGTTATACGTATATGACATGAGAATAAGGCCTGAAGTTAGGAAGAACATTTTACGGAAAATATAATTATATTTTCATAATGCTTTTTTTCTTCTCAAACCTTGTCTGTGGTGTAAAAACACCCCTGGCCAAATGCCCCCAGAGGGCATCACTTCCCCCTTTGATAATTACTGTAGTTACCATGTTCTGAACATCACATCCTTTATTTTACCCCAGATGTAATCTATCTAGGTGGTTGAATAAACATATTTGGACTTTATTTCTAAATTACCTCAATTTAGCACCAGCAAGCTTGTTAGCTAGACAGTTAGTATCAGCTAACAATATTTACTTATTTTCAGTATGGTTATTATGAATAAACATTCATATCTGTCTACTCGGCTAGTTAATCCAAAGATATATAAAAATGTATACTGTTGATAAACAATATAAAAACAGACGTCATATAGGGCTAAGTGCGTAGCATTTTAATAAAACTGTTAACATTGTTTTTTATTTTTTACAGCTCAGATGATGATTTTGATCCAATATCAATATCGAGTGATCCCACAAAGAGGTGATGATTCTGAATGAAGTTCTCACTGTTTATCAATCATCTGTGTACACACGGCAGCCAACACCTCATTCTCTGTCTGCTTGTGTCTTTCACAGTCCTCAGTGGTACAGTCCTCCTAAACCGGACTCAAGGTAATTGTGCAGATTCGTTTATCAGGCTCTGTTTGCTAAAATTGTGACAATAATGGTTATCATGATACCGTTGGCAGTGGTGGACGAAGTACACAAATCAAGTACTTGAGTAAAAGTACAGATACGTATAATAAAATATTACTCCTTTTTCAATTTTACTCGAGTGAAAGTACAAAAGTACTCGATTTTTTATGTACTTAAGTAAATAAAGTACTGATAGATTTATTTTGCATGTTATATAGGCTACTTAATTTAATTTTATATTAGCACATATTTTTTATAATCCTTCTGCTCAAACTACCTGGGATTTTCCCAAAATAACCCCTATATCAAGTCAAGTCTGCTTTATTGTCAATTCTTCCACATGTACAGCACATACACACAGAGTATGGAGTCAAGCTATATTTGTGTTGTTGATATGGACTACGTTGACGAGAGCGATGTAGTAATGTTCACTGTGAAGCTTACACTGCCAAGTACCATCTGATTCTCACCAGTAAGAACAAAGTGTTTTAAAGCTTGTTGTTTTGCAGAACGTCACAGTTATACGTATATGACATGAGAATAAGGCCTGAAGTTAGGAAGAACATTTTACGGAAAATATAATTATATTTTCATAATGCTTTTTTTCTTCTCAAACCTTGTCTGTGGTGTAAAAACACCCCTGGCCAAATGCCCCCAGAGGGCATCACTTCCCCCTTTGATAATTACTGTAGTTACCATGTTCTGAACATCACATCCTTTATTTTCCCCTCAGATGTAATCTATCTAGGTGGTTGAATAAACATATTTGGACTTTATTTCTAAATTACCTCAATTTAGCACCAGCAAGCTTGTTAGCTAGACAGTTAGCATCAGCTAACAATATTTACTTATTTTCAGTATGGTTATTATGAATAAACATTCATATCTGTCTACTCGGCTAGTTAATCCAAAGATATATAAAAATGTATACTGTTGATAAACAATATAAAAACAGACGTCATATAGGGCTAAGTGCGTAGCATTTTAATAAAACTGTTAACATTACGGCAGCGGGGAATATGAATGTGCATGAGTTATTTTATTTAGTCTGTGTCGGGGGTGAATCCAGGATTTTCATTTTAGGGGGGCTCAGCCCCCAATGAGGATATATATATATTGAAATGAAAATGGCAACATCGTTTTATAAAGTATATGCATTTATATGTGCTTTATTTTCACTGGAGGAAACCTGTGGTGTGATGAGGGGTGAACGCAGCAAAAGCTTAGGCTACAGTAGATGGGGAACCGATTGCTCCCTAATGATATTTTGTAAAGCTATAGCCCCCCTAAAAATGGCCTAGCGACGCCCATGGTCTGTGTTACTTTAATGTTTCGTTTTTTTTTACCTAAAACATAGAGACACTGATGTTGATGTGTCTGCATTCAAGCATCTCAGTGGGCTTAAATATATCACCCTTTACAGCAGATTAGTTCACAAACAACTGACAGTTTTGACCTAAATATGATTTTCAGTTACAATAATTAATCCTAAAATTCAACATTAGTAACTTTTAGCAGCATCAGTCGTGCGCACGCTCACAAGATCTCCCGGTTCTTACTTGTGAGTTCAGTTCACTGGAGACTCGCACTAAACAGATCATTTGAATCAGTGAGTTGTCGACTCGAGAACAGCTGCAATCGGATCATTCTAATTCGTGAATTAATCGTTTGGTGCGATTTGCGAACCGATTTAATGGGTTCATTGAAAAGAATCAGTTCGTTCATGAATCAGACACCGCTTCTGCGTGTCGGAGCACGTGATATATTTTAAGGAGTAACGATATGTTTTATGAAATGTAGTGAAGTGAAAAGTACGATCTTATGCTTTGGAATGTAGTGAAGTAAAAGTAAAAGTTACTCAAAATAAAACTACTCCAGTAAAGTACAGATACTTGAAAAATGTACTTAAGTACAGCTACTCCGTTACTGTCCACCACTGACAGTTTGTCATAATAGTGTACATTTGTATTTTCAGTTCAGATACATTCAATCACTTTCAGCATCCTGTGGATTTTGTTGCTGAGTGAGTATTTAAATCAATTTACATGGACCTGACTGTTTTTAAAATTCCATTTAATAATTTAATTACATTTTTATAATATTAAACTGATATGCAAAAATTTCAGAATGTCATTTTACACAGTGCTTTTGATTAAATGGTAATATTAATCAAGATATTTTGTGCTTAATTGATAGTGCGCCACCAGACGTTTTGGTTTCCTTGGCTGAAGATGTCATTCCAATTGATACTAAGAGGTAATTCAATACTGCATAACTCTTTATTACACAGCTCATTTCTTGAGCCAACACCTGGACCTGTTTGTGTTGATTCATATTGTTTGCACAGAGATCTTTGCTAAGAAATGTCAATAACATAACGGGTTAAAGGCAGGGCTGTACTGGGATGCAATTTCAGGCCGGGAAATCTCACACTCATTCAGGCCACACAGAAAAAAAGGGGCCAAAATTGTACCTTTTGGGGTACAACAGCTTGACACCGTAGCAGTACACCGTAAACAAATATGTCCTTTTAAGGGTCCTGTTCCTGTGACAAGCTGTTGTACCCCAAAAGGTGCAATTTTGGCCCCTTATTTCCTGTATATAGCCTATACATCCACAACAATGTCTGAAACCAGACAACCCTATTATTTGTATGGCCATCACATAAAAAAGATCTAAATCCTTACTCTGGGGCCGTGGAAAATAGTTAAAGGTTCACTCTTGCACTGCACCTTCACTTCCCTTTCCCTTTTCTTCATTTTTCCCCAATATCCTTTTTTTTCTCACCTGTCACTTCTTCACCAGCAGGTCTACAGAACTGTGTCCACCTTGTTGAAAACATTCACCTCATTTCAATTTGTTAGCAAATAATGGTATTTATCTTAATATGACTTAAATACCCTAGATTTAATGAATCTATATTTCATACAAATACACATTACCAGTCAAAAGTTTTTGAACAGTAAGATTTTAAATGTTTTTT